CGTTCTCTTGGCAAAACTGTTAGCCTTTGCCCTGCTTCATTCTGTACTCCAAGGCCAAATTTGCCTGTTACTCTAGGTGTTTCTTGACTTCCTTTATTTGCATTACAGTCCTCTATAATGAAAAGGACATCTTTTCTGGGTGTTAGTTCTAGAAGGTCTTGTAGGTCTTCATAGAACCATTCAGCTTCAGCTTCTTCAGCATTACTGGTCAGGGCACAGACCTGAATTCCTGTGATACTGAATGGTTTGCCTTGGAAACAAACAGAGATCATTCTGTCATTTTTGAGATTGCATCTAAGTACTGCATTTCAGACTCTTTTGTTGACTATGATGGCTACTCCATTTCTTCTAAGGGATTTTTGCCCCCAGTAGTAGATATAATAGTCATCTGAATTAAATTCACCCATTCTAGTCCATTTTAGCTTGCTGATTCCTAAAATGTTGACATTCACTCTTGCCATCTCATGTTTGACCACTTCCAATTTGCCTTGATTCATGAACCTAACATTCCAGGTTCCTATGCAATATTGCTCTTTACAGCATCAGACTTTACTTCCATCACCAGTCACATCCACAACTGGGTGATGTTTTTGCTTTGGTTCCGTCTCTTCATTCTTTCCGGAGTTATTTCTTCACTGATCTCCAGTAGCATAGTGGGCACCTACCAACCTGGGGAGTTCATCTTTCAGAGTCCTATCTTTGTTTTTTCATACTATCCATGGGGTTCTCAAGGCAAGAATACTAAGTAGTTTGCCATTCCCTTCTCCAGCAGACCACGTTTTGTCAGACAATGCTAAGAAATGCTTTTCAGTTTCCTTTGTTGTTCAGTCTCTCAGTTGTGTCTGACTCTTTGCAACCCCATGAACTACAGCACATCAGGTTTCCCAATCCTTCACTATCTCCCTGAGTTTGCTCAAACTCATGTCCATTGAGTTGGTGATGCCATCCAACCATCTCAATGCCATCTCAATGTTTCCCAGCATCAGGGTCTTTTCCAGTAAGTTAGCTCTTCACATCAGGTGGCCAAAGTTTTGGAGCTTCAGCTTCAGCATTGATCCTTTCAATGAATATTCAGGGTTGATTTCCTTTAGGATTGGCTGGTTGATCTCGTTGCTGTCCAAGGGACTCTCAAGGGTCTTCTCCAACACCACTGTTCAAAAGCATGAATTCTTTGGCACTCAGCCTTCTTTATGGTCCAACTCTTACATTCATACATGACTGCTGGAAAAACCACAGCTATGACTATATGGACCTTTGTCAGCAAAGTGACAAAGGTCACTCTGCTTTTTAATATATTGTCTAGGTTTATTATAGCTTTTCTTCCAAGGAGCAAGCATCTTTTAATTTCATGGCTGCAGTCACCTTAGGCCACCTTTTCATACAAAGGAACTTCAGGAAGTGTACTCTGGCTCCACAGCATACATTATCTGGATCAGAGGCAGGTTTTTCTCCCTGATAAAGCTGAGAACGGCACAGTGCCTTCTACTCTGGAAGTCCAAGGGAAATTTCAAGGTCCTGTCAGAAGTCTAGGCCACCTCAGACTTTTAACTTTAGTTGTAAGAGCACAGGAAGCTGAAGTAGCAGTCCTGGGTGAAAAAGGGAACTATAAGCCTAATGGGTATTTTTGAGCTTCAGGGTAAAAGAGGTGAATTTATACTTATTGGGTATCACCCTGTAGAATTACGCAGGGTCTTCAACCCCAAGACCCTGGTCATCTAGTCAAAGACAGAGAAGAATAGCTCTCTCCAGGAAAATAAATAAGTCTGTATGTTCCACCATAACCAAAGGCTGTCTAGTGCAACCCACACCCATCAGAGTTTCATGAAATATGGGTCAGGACAACCAGCTGGTGACTCCTTTTTATGTCACTAAATAGCACCCCTTGCTTCAATTTCCAGGACCATCATGACACGTAGCACCCCAAAAAATGGCCAAGTCTTGAGACCCCCATTCCTCCCAAGAACAAGGCACTCTTCTAGAATGCAGCAACAGGGAACAGACACACACTCACAGGCATCTCTGGCCTCTTACCTGTAATCTTGCCATTGGCTTCAGAGGGAGGCTGCCAATTTACAATTATGGTCCTAGGTTTTCCTTCTTTACTCACAACTGTCACATCCTTGGGTGGAGAAGTAGGAACTACAAAAGAATAACACTTTCAGTAATTCCTGTTCATTTCAACTTAATTCACCATTTCCTTAACCCTCTCCATTTAGAAGGCACAATAAAGGGTACAGGCAAAAAAGATAAAGCCTCTTGGCTTCAAAGAACTCACTGTCTGTCTATAAACAGTCCCAAGAAAAAGAAGAATATGCAAAGTACCAAAGAGGGAATACCATTTTGAGAGGACAAAGAACAGGCATCCCAAATGGGGAGGTCAGGCAGGACGGGTTAGGGAAAATTAAAAGCCACCTGTAGTCCCTGCTTGATAGATCAGGAGACTGAAAATGAGAAAAGTTATGTAATGTGCCCAAGACTACGTTATCTCCCCTAATTTGGATTATTTTGTTAGAATATTTTTAAGTGTAAAGTAACTTTATCTCTACCTACAGTTGGCTTTTCAAACCAAATAAGATGTTTGAAAACCACCATTCCTCCAAAGAATAAATGATTTACAAATTAACGTTTTATTATGTTAAATTTGCACTGAAAAGATACTGTCAACTATTAAAGGTTATTGCTCTGAAATGTAAAGCTGTTTATGGAACAGAAAAGCCAATTAAATAAGAACTTCAGGGCATCTGTGTTTCCATGGTAATGGTGGTTTAGTTTCTAAGTCATGTCTGAACCTTTCGACCCCATGGACTGTAGCTCCACTGGGTTTCTCTGTCCATGGGGATTTCTCAGGCAAGAATACTTAAGTGGGTAGTTATTTCTTCCTCCAGGGGATCTTCCTGACCCAGAGATCAAACCCACATTTCCTGCATTGCAGAAGCCCCTTATGTGTCCATATTATGGCTGAAAACTTTTAATGTATTGATACTAGTTGGGAAATCAGCATATTAAGTATATCCTTACATTTATTCTTTTCCTAAAATACTAGAATTTTTCTGGTATGAAACGGAAGGAAGCCCAGTGCAATGTAAACTCCTAATGGAATATCACTTATTACCTAATGGGCTGGAATGAAAGCACAAAGGTATTTTTAAAACTGGCAAAGAAAGCAAACTCAAGTTCTATTTAAGTTTTTGTGCACTGAATTTCTTTCTCTCCAAATCTATCCCTTTTTTTTCTCTGTAGGAAATTCAACCAACTGTGCCAAAGATAAGACATCAGGGCCAAACCCAGTCTGGAGAGACTTTGTAGTTCCATTTTTTTCATTATTCACATAAAGGAGAGAAAGAAACAGGAAGGTGGAATAGACAGAGCCTCCCAGTGGTTACACACATCCCTATGCCAGGGAAGTATAAGAGGCAGAAGGGCAGGCCTACAAGTGAGTAAAAAGCAAGCAAAACTTTCAAATTAGATGGCTTGCTTTCCCCTTAATTTACTTAGTTGAGTTTTTTCTTTCATGTTTACTTACAGACAAAAACCCTAAGAACACTCTACTGGGAGACTTTATAAGACATTAACCAGTTTGCAAGAAAGCTTCCAGGGCAGTTTAGGAGAGCGCTGGTAAAGTGCTGAGGCTCTAGCAAGCATGGTATCGGTAAAGGGCAGGCCACTTCATCTTTTCTGTCTCAATTTTCCAGGAAGGCAAAGTTAAAAACCATAATTCCTTACATCTACACAGTGCTTTATTATTTACCATGTGCTTTATTTATTGGGTAATTTATTTTACTCTATCAAGTAGAAAAGACAGCAATTATCCCTCTTTTATAGATGGAAGAAATAGCTTCAGAGAGGCTGGATGACTTGCTTTTATTGTCAGTGGATGGCTGACCTTGGAATTGAACTCATGCTTCATGATTCCTAAACTCTAGTACATTCTGCATTATTTCTTCCTGCTATTTGCTAATGTTCTTGAACAATGATGAAAAAAACAAAATTCTTCAGCTGAGAAAACAAACACTGAACTCCACCTGTAGTTGCTCACTGTGTTCTATAAATATGTCAATTCACACACTTAGTTCTTTCCTTGGGTAGTAAAGACAGGTGGTAAGGCGCCTCCTGACTTGGGATGTGGTACAACATTAGCACGGGCTTTCCCTGGCTTTCACATCTAGCGAAGAGAAGAAAGGCCATGTGACAAAGTTCTGACAACACATACCTAATTCAAATGTAGTCCCGTGGGCTGTCATGCTCCATGTGCTTGACCTTCGACCTTTGGTCACCATCACAGAGAATTCATAGAGTGTATTTGGTTTTAAACCAGTCACCAAATAACTCAAAGTCGTTGCATTAGCATTCTGGAAACATATGAATCAAGAGCTTCAGAATCACAAAGTATGAATAATTAGCTTTTCTTACCCAGAGTGACTGTGCCAGTACCTTGTACTTGGTGTTTGCTGGGATGTTGGTTTTCCATCGGACTGTGTAGTACCGGGAGTCTGTAATCTTCTGGTGTTTGGGCAGGGAGTTGTCCGCCCAGGTAATCCTTATGGTGTCATGGCTCAGAATGGAAGCCTGAACTCCCACTGGTGGCATCATGGGAGTGGGATCTGGCACTGGAGTGTATGGAGCATTAATAACAAACAAATCAACTTCAGAAGTGTCTGAGGTAAAAAGTAATTAAAAATGGAAGTGGCATTTTAACATAAACAAAAATAAAAGGGAAATGCAGGGTAATATAATGGAATGAAAGGTGAGAAATGAAGAAAGAGAAAGAGAATCCAGAGTTAATATATAACCATCATTCATTTAAAAGAATATTTCCACTTGTGTTCTTTCAGGAAAAAATTGCAGGAAAGCATCTAGAGAAATAGTAATTAACCATTTTCTGCTACTGTAAACTGCATGTCATGTATATTGAATAGGTAAATAAAATTTGGTGATCCAGTGTTCCCCGGTGGCTCAGGTGGTAAACTGCCCGCAATGTGGGAGACCTGGGTTCGATCCCTCGGTTGGGAGGATCCCCTGGAGGAGGGCATGACAACCCACTCTAGTATTCTTGCCTGGAGAATTCCCACTGTCAGAGGAGCCTGGCAGACTACAGCCCACGGGGTTGAAAAGAGATGGACACGACTTGAGTGACTAAGCACAGCACACAACATTCAAACTTGATTTTTCTTTGTCTTAAAATTTTTTCTTTAAATAACTTGAAAATTCTACCTTCTATCCAAAAAGGATTATTAAAAGATGAAAACTGCTTTTAAAATCAAGGGTATTTTTCCCAAATAAGTAACACAAAGCTCATGATCTATTTTGGTATTTCAGTGAAAGTGGTTGAATTTTGGGGATGTTGCTTATCACACTGGACATGTAGGGGCCTCTCCTCTAAAATCTGAATCTGAATATCAGCCAAAGGAAACGTAGCTTGGTCTTGAAACTGGGTGTATCTGAAACCCACACAGGGTCCAATTCAGATCTGCTGATGTCCAGGGTCTAAAAGCAGTACCACAACATGGCTTACATTCAAGTAAAGCAAAGGGAACTCAAGGGCATTACTCTTCATGAAGGAAAGGTAAGCTGACAACATGCGGGAGTATTTTATACTTTTTCCAGTAGACTCAGGGAACAACCCACTGATTAACTCCAATCAGTTATGGGAAATGCCCCAGCTATCAAGGATTTAAGTGACACAGCCTTTATGAACTTAAGAAATCAGGGCACTTATTTGATAGAAGGAAAAGTCTATACTCATTTGCTGTCCTGAACCATATGCAGACATATTCTTTAAGTAGCACTGTCAAAACAAAGGCCCCAGTGAGCCCAAAGGCACCATGACATGGGGCAATATGGAAGCATCCGTCTGGGCTTTCCCAACGCTCGGTCAGTTATTTAAGTACATACACACTGATTTATCTTAAGTGAAGGTTTTAAAATGGGTTTCCCATTTTGCTATGGTGACTAGTCCTTCCTATAACCTAAAATCTGAGACAGCAGGGGCCTTACTTATGAATAATTGCCAAGCTAAAGCAATAATCTCCATTTGTGTATTTCCTACACAATGAAGACTAAAAATAACAGAAGAACAGCACACATTATAATCAAGGGCTCTGTTCAAAGATCAGGATACATACCAATTAGTTAGAGAAAATGCACCTCAGGTGCAAAAATCACTAAGACTGAGAGATTTTTTCTTATTGTAACAACTCTTAGAAAAGATGGCTAAGTAAGATGACTTATAAACATTTCTTCCCGTATATTTCTAGCCACACTCTATTTTTAAGTCACATAACAGAAAATAATTCCAAATTTGTTTTTTCCTATTACAGACTGATTTAAGAAAGTAGCAAACCCTTTATTTAAATATTCTCTTTTTCATCTTACGTTTTTTCTTTTCTGACATACCAAAGCTATTTTTAAAAGAACTTATAAATTGTAAGCACACAGGAACAGAAGACAGGACAGAACTATCAAATATGCAATAATGGTATTGATCTTGTTAAGTAAAAGCATAAAAAGGGGGGACAGAGATTATCTTTTTAAAACAAATAATTCCAGATCCATACTGTATACAAAGTATCCAGAATATATAGCAGGCAATACAGTCACAATTTTGTTTTGAGAAACAAAAGAGTATTACTGAAAGTGACAAATTCTTTGATTTCCAGTACCATTTAGAAAAATTTACAATTCTAATATATTCACTTCAGTAAATTTTCTCATTCAGATCTAGATCTAAATCATGTTTTACATATCTACAGAAACTTTACATTATTCTTTTAAAGATATTTTAATAGATAAATTACAAAGAAAAGTAATAAATATTTGGTCTCTTTTGTAATAAATGTACAGTTTATCAAATGGATGATACATACAGCTTTATACTCTCTATATAAATAAAACTTATAAAAAGCACATAGAAAAATACTTTCCTAACTGAGGTACTAATAAAAAAAATGTTGGATTTGTCAATCTAATACATTTATTCCATCAATAACCTATGTATTTTCTCAGAGATACGGAGATCCTTTTAACTTTTTTCTCCTTTTAATTATAACTCACATGACCAAAAGATGAAAAATCACTTTTAATTCTCTCATGACTACGCTTTCTAGATCACAACATATTAAAAACATGTGTAACACATTTACATAGATTTGTTTACATGACAGGATTAGTATTTTCTAAAAAGCAAAGCAGGATTTAATGGAACTTCCCATGTTGAAAGCCCATTTACCCTCCTATGAGGCCTGACCCTAAATTGCCATGTCCTTTCCCTTCCACTGACACCCATGGAGCAGGCCTCATGCTAACATTCTACTTAAGCGGCTGGAAAAGATGCTGACAACCTGAGATGGACAGGATACCTTACCTGTGTGAGGTCTGGTCACAGCACTCTCGTACAAGGGGATACCTTCACCTACGTTGTTAAACGCTTTCAGGGTAATCACATAATGAGAGCTGGGATCTGAAGGAAAGAAACAAGTGGAAACACGTAAAAAACTCTCACTACAGAATTTTAAAAATTCACAGATGATTATGTACAGTATTAATTGTAATAAAAGCCAGGTCATACTTTAAAATTTTTTATGTGGGATTATTCTGAGGGGTGGGGAGGAATGGAGATGGGAGCATACAGAGTATAGAAAAACTGGCTGGGATCGAATTCCTGTAGTCCCAGGAGCAAGGTAACTGTTCCTGAATCTTCTACTGGCTTCAACTCATCAGTGGTCTAGTGATGTCACTGTATAGTGAAGAGCTTGGATTAAAAAGAAAAAATAGGATTTCCATGTGTTGCAAGCCCATAGGTGCAGCTTGGAATTAAACAAACCCCATTCCTTCTCAGGAGGAGGCAGTAATTGGAACAGCCAAGCTAGAGAAGTAGGAGACAAACTGTTAACCCAGTTAATCGCTGAAGGTCCTTAACTCTCTGGAATGCCAATCTCATCTAGCTTTCATGCAGACTTCTTGGTTGGAGAAGACATGGCCCAGGATTTCAACTGGCTAAGAAGGTGATCATGTAAAATGCTGCTAGTTAGATTTGGTGAAAAAGAGGGGTAATAAATAGTTGGAATAGCATTCATTCTCCTACTGGCTAAGGCAAATCAGGAAGATTCCGCTTTATCACATTCCTGATTCAGGCAAGGTTTAGTACAGGTACTTCAAGAATCTAGTTTCAGAAATGAAGACTTGGGTTCCACTGAAGTGTTGTAGGGTGGGGAGTTAACCCACACCACTCACATCTGCTAAAGTTGGGCAGTTTTTCAAGGTGGCGACACCTCAAGTGGCCTTAATTTCTTCAAAAGCTGCATTTTCCACATACCACTGAGCATAAAGGCACCTGGTCTTGCAGTGTGACAAAGAACTGACAACAAATGGAATAAATAAGACTTAGTACTTGACTGGCAGGAAAATGTGTTGATTTGGACAACATGGTGGACGGTGATGCCATACACTGAGACTGGGGACAGAAGAATCACAATACACATTTTCCAGACTTGATCCTAGGCTCTCTAGTCCTACTCTTCACTCTCTCCCAATGTGCTTCCATTCGTTTCCTTGGTTGGATTAGCATACGTACGTGATCCAATGCAAATTAGTCCTGACTTTTCTTCTGAGCACCAGACCTCTTTGAAACTGTCTGTTTGGCATCTCCATCTCTTGGATGTCTTATATCTGTCTTTTTCTCCCCTTCCTCCACCCCTTCAGATCTGCTCCAGTTTTTACTAGAGTTCATAAATGGCATGACTATGCACACTGTTGCTCAAGTCAGAAACCTGGGAGTTGTTTCTCTCTCTCCTTCCCTACATAAGTGATCAAGTCTTGTTGATGCTACCTACGTGCCTCCCACCACCACACCTCATTCTCTGTGCTCACTTTTTACTGGCCATCTCTCAGCTCACCGAGTGGGGCGCACTCTCCTACTACTGGGTTGTAACCTGTGCAGACGTCCCCTATGCTGGGGACACATAGCACTCTTATTTACTCAGACACTGCCTATTCATCTGAAAGGGGCCATCCCAGACTGGATTACCTCTCTAAATACATAGCCAGTTGCACACCTCATTTCTCCTCCTCAGCACTCTAAACCATTTAAATTATTTAAAAATTATATTCTCTTTAATAATTGGGATGACATCTGCTGATTCTCTGCTCTATCTCTAGCACAGTGTCTGGGGTATTTGCTGATTGAGTGAAAGTTTGCAGAAGATACTAACTTTAATTTTGAATAAATGATGATAGACTATAAGATATTCTATCATGATTTATGATATTCCAGTACAGATACCCAGCAAGCAGATGTTTACATAGGTTTGAAGCTCAGGGGGGAGCTCTAGTTTGATTAATAAATGAATTTCTACATGTATTTCTCCACTCCACTGACTTCTCTTTTGTTCAACATTATATGTATCTTAAATCTATCTGATAATGCAGCAAGTTTATTTTACTTTATGCCAAATCAATTTTTTTTTGCTACTTCTCACTGTGCACTTTCATTATTACTAAGTATGTCTACTGCCTTCAGCACATGCAGGGCTCCTCTTGTTTCCAATCACTATTCTGACTCAGTCTTTCAAGTACAAGTCAAGCTTCTTCCCTGACTGCTCTACTGTGACCTTACCACCTCTCCTCCTTCTCTGAACACACTTCTCTTCAACGCTTCTCACTGTTTTTCCTGTGTTTTATTTTTCTTCTCCTATTAGACTGAAAGAGGATTTTCATTTCAGTAGTTTTGTAAAGGAAACAGTAGGAGTGGGTGACCACAGAAGTATTTTTATCCTAGTCTATTCCTTTGCTCTCCTACAACTGCCTTGTAAGACTGTTCATGTGGGGAACACTTCCCAGGTTAGCTATGCTGTTTCTCTGTGAAAGGAAAAAGAAAAAGGCTACTCTGTTTTTGACTAAAGCATTAAATTGCTGCTTATCTTCTACCAGAAAAGATGACCCTAAGTCATCTTTATTGCTTATTCTTGTGCTTAGTCGCTCAGCTGTGTCCAACTCTTTGCAACCCCATGGGCTGTAGCCCACTAGACTCCTCTGTCCATGGGGATTCTCCCAGCAAGAATACTGGAGTGGGTAGTCAGTTCCTTATCCAGGGGATCTTCCCAACCCAGGGATCGAACCCAGGTCTCCTCTATTGCAAGTGGATTCTTTACTGTCTGAGCCCCAAGGGAAGCCCTAAGTAATTTACTAGACACTTAAAATTGTCCTTAGGAAAGACATTCACAAATAAATTTTAATTTAAAAAGTTGGTTAAGGGAAGATTCTAAATTAAAAGGCAAGTCTTTCAAAGAAAGATCTCAATAATGATATCTAATTTGGAAAAATATGCCTATCTAAATCAATTCATTTTCTATTATAAAATATCACTTTTTCTCAAAATGTTGGCTCTGTAACTCATCTTTGAGGTAATAATTTATGCGTAATACAATGTACCCATTTAAATGTGCCTTTTTAGCTCTGACAAATATATATACCTGTCTAAGAGTCTACTACTTAGCACTAAACAACAGAAACAAATCATGACCACAACACACATTCCCAACACTCTGAAGAGTTCTATGCCCAGTCAACTGCAGTCAGTTCCACCTCCTCACTTTCCAGTCACCCCACTCACCTTGCTGTGTCACCATAAATAAGAGCCACACATTCTGCAATTTCATAAAAATGTATTAACACAGTATGTATTCTCTTGTGGTTTTGCTTCTTTTGCTCTGCATAATGTTTGTGAGATTTGTTATGTTGTTGAGTGTACCTGTAACCTATTCCTTTTAATTGCTGACTAGCATTCCATTGTATGAATATAGTAAAATTCATCACTTGTTTACCCCCTTTAGATTATTATAAATAAATTACGAACATCTGTGTAGAAATCTTTGTGAACATATGCATCTTTATTTCTCTTGGTTAAGCAACTATGAGTGGGAACGTTGGATTGTATAGTCAACTTTTTCAGAAACCTCCAAACTGTTTTCTAGAGTGGTTGTACCATCAGAAGTGGCCACCAGCAAGTATGAGTTCCAGTTCTGCATCCTTGCTGATATCTGGTATTATCAGTCTGTTAAATTTTAGCAATTTTAGAAGTTGTGTAGTGATATTTTATTGTGGCTTTATCTGTCTGAAGAATTGATGCTTTTGAACTGTGGTGTTGGAGAAGACTCTTGAGAGTCCCTTGGACAGCAAGGAGATCAAACCAGCCAATCCTAAAGGAAATCAATCCTGAATATTCATTAGAAGGACTGATGCTGAAGCTGAAACTTCAATACTTTGGCCACCTGATGTGAAGAGCTGACTCACTGGAAAAGACCCTGACGCTGGGAGGGATTGGGGGCAGGAGGAGAAGGGGATAACAGACAACAAGATAGTTGGACGGCATCCTGACTCAATGGACATGAGTTTGAGCAAGCTCTGGGAGATGGTGATGGACAGGGAAGCCTGGAGTGCTGCAGTCCATGTGGTTGCAAAGACTCAGACACAACCAAGCGACTGAACAACAACAACTAGAAGTTTTATAGTTTTAGTTATTTATTTAGGTCTGTTTTTGTGTATGGTATAAGGGTCAATGAAGGTTCCTTTTCTTTCTCACAGAGTTATCCAATTATTCGCACACCTTTTGGTGAAAAGACTATCTTCTCTTCCACTGAATTATCTCAATGTTTTTGTCAAAAATCAATTGAGCATATATCTATTTCTGAACTTCTGTTCCATTGATCAGTAACACCTAACCTTTACACCAACCCTACCACAATGTCTCAGTCACTGTAGCTTTATAATAAACCCTGAAATCACATATTATGGGTCTTCTAAACTTTATTCTTTTAAAAAAATGTTTGCCTATACTAGCGCCTTCACTTTTTTCATATAAACTTTAAACAAGTTTATAAATGTCTAGGAAAAAAGTCTACTGGGATTTTACTTGAGATTGCATTGGAGAGGATTGTCATTATAACATACTGTCCTCTAATCCATGAACATGATATCTCCATTTATTCAAGTCTTAACTTTTCTCAGCAATCATTTCCCACTCTTCAGTATATAGATTTTCTACACACACATATACACACACACACACATAAATTGCTTACTGTTAGTATGTGGAAATACAACTGTTTCTGCATATTTACTTTATACCTTGTGCCCTTTTTAAACTCAGTTATAGTTTTAGTAGCATTTTTAATAGATTCCTCAGGATTTCTACCCCAGTAACAATGAGCATGAATAGTGCTCAAATACTGGTTTCCAAATATCATTTTCTATAAAAGAAACCAGGAGCAATGGCTGATTCAAGGGCAAAAGCTAGGAAAATACCAGATAAGCCTGAAACATATTATATTGAGTCAAAAAGGAAGAAAGTGCTCAAAGAAAGACAGGAGATGTCAAACGGACAGAAAAACTAGTTATAGAGAGATTCTCATTAGCCATTCCTTCAGTATGGAAGAGAAGCAAAGCTCTTCTTTATCAAAGAAAGGTAATAAATGCAGAAGAAATAATGGAATTAGAAAATCACCACTTTAGAAACACCATAATGATGATACTAGATGCTAAAACAGTATACTGAGTAAAAGTCTGACAAGAAACCAGATATTTACAAAGACTCAAGGCATTTCCCTACAAGGTACTTTTTAGCTATGAAGGAAAAAAAAATAACTTTATAGAGGAGGAATGTTGAAGATACCATTTTAACCAAGTAGTTAAAGTTAACATCACTAGCATTACGCTCTCATCTGCCTCCTGGCAAGAACACATGTACCCTACAAGGTACTTTTTAGCTATGAAAGGGGAAAAAAAAAAATGAATAGTGCTCAAATACTGGTTTCCAAATATCATTTTCTATAAAAGAAACCAGGAGCAATGGCTGATTCAAGGGCAAAAGCTAGGAAAATACCAGATAAGCCTGAAACATATTATATTGAGTCAAAAAGGAAGAAAGTGCTCAAAGAAAGACAGGAGATGTCAAACGGACAGAAAAACTAGTTATAGAGAGATTCTCATTAGCCATTCCTTCAGTATGGAAGAGAAGCAAAGCTCTTCTTTATCAAAGAAAGGTAATAAATGCAGAAGAAATAATGGAATTAGAAAATCACCACTTTAGAAACACCATAATGATGATACTAGATGCTAAAACAGTATACTGAGTAAAAGTTTGACAAGAAACCAGATATTTACAAAGACTCAAGGCATTTCCCTACAAGGTACTTTTTAGCTATGAAGGAAAAAAAAATAACTTTATAGAGGAGGAATGTTGAAGATACCATTTTAACCAAGTAGTTAAAGTTAACATCACTAGCATTACGCTCTCATCTGCCTCCTGGCAAGAACACATGTACCCTACAAGGTACTTTTTAGCTATGAAAGGGGAAAAAAAAAAATAACTTTATAGAGGAGGAATGTTGAAGATACCATTTTAACTAAGTGGTTAAAGCTAACGTCACTAGCATTAGGCTCTCATCTGCCTCCTGGCAAGAACACATAAATCTATGCTATTTCTTCCAAAAATGTGTACGCTGAATATAATGATGAAATATTACATAGGTCTAAATTAAGGGTCATTCTATAAAGAATAAATGTACTTTTCACAAATGTCATGGTCATAAAAGAAAAATCAAGGACTGTTCCATATGAAAGAATATTAATGAAACACACTAACTAAATACATGTGATCCTGCACCAGAAAACAATGTTTTTCTTTCATTACAAAGGACATTGATGAGACAACTAACAAATTATAAATGACGTCTATAGATACTGCCTCACAGTTAATTTGCTGATTTTGATAACTGCACTGTGATTATACTAGAAAATGCCCTCATTTTAAGGAAAGGGACATTAAAGCATTAGTGGGTGGAGGGACAACATTACTCTCAAATGGTTCTAAGAAAAAAACAAAACAAAACCAGGTACATGCAGCAGACAAAACGGGTTTCCCCAATGGCTCAGTGGTAAAGAGTATGCCTGCAAGACCGGAGACTCAGGAGACACGGGTTCAATTCCAGGGTCAGGAAGATCCCCTGGAGAAGGAAATGGCAACCCAGTCCAGTATTCTTTCCTGGAAAACCCCATGGACAGAGGAGCTACAGTGGGCTACAGTCCATGGGGTTGCAGAGATTCAGACACGACTGAGCACACACACTGGGTACACAGCAGATACAGCACGTATGATAAAATGTTAACCTCTGGGGAACCTGGGTGAAGAATAAAAATTGTACTATTTTTGAAAGCTTTCTATAAAAATAAAGTATACAATAAAAAGTTAGAAACAAATCACACATGCAGTTACTTCCTTTACTGAGCATACATACCCAGATTTTCGATGGTGTAATAGCGCTGTTTATAGTCTACTTTTATGGTCTGGGCATGAGGGCTGCCAATGCCATAACCAATGGCATAACCTCTGACCACAATGTTTTGATTCTCTGGAGGCGTCCAGCTTACTACGATGCTAGTGACCAGGGGGCGGACGTGAAGAGAACTAGGCACTTCTGGAACACGAGTTTCTGGGAAGGAGAGAAGAAGAGCAAGATGAGATTCAGATCCATCTTCCTTTGTAACATTTCATTGTCCTTGGGGCAAGGTGTTTAGGTTTCTGCCAAATTATCTGGGGCTAAGTTTTTTTTTCCATTATGGCCAAGAATTTTCAAAGAGACTCTGTATGTATAGTGAAGTATGCCCACAGTTTAACTGCAGCCTAAGAAAACCAACTCAAACAACCTGAAACACAAGACACTGCAGTATTATTATAATTTGGAAGGAAAAACAAAGAGGTCCAAGAGCCTTCCCAATGGAGAAAAATAAACTGTCTTTCAATTGCTGCCACTCCTCTTGGTCCCATAGCTGATTACCACACTCTACCCGGTGGAATGAGACAGGCACAGTACACTAAATAGAAGACTGTTGTCAACAGGTGATCAAGTTTCACATGACAGTGATGATATCAGTTATTTACTCCTCAAACTAATATGGTAAGTCAGAAAATATGAAACTTAGAACCACAAATTGATTTAAATGGTGGGAGACTAAGAGGCTTTAAAAGGTAGCAATTTGCAGTATCGTTCACACACATTATCTCAAGGCATAAACTCCTATCTCTATTTAAAAATCAGTAAACAAAGAATTACATTAAGTACCCAGGTCTTCTGCCTTTTAAGTGCAGCACTTGGCTCTGATAAACGCAACATACACACCCTCATGTGGAGTCACTGAATAAACTGGTGAGAAAAAGGGTGAGGTTACTAGGACTGAGGGAAAAGGGAAACTAACTAAAACAGAGGCCAGTCTATAGGGTGCAGCCTTAACTTTGAGATCATCCACCTACTTCATGGCCTTGGTAAACAAGCCAGACTTAAAGCACTTGCACATTTTTACTTGTTCTGGTTCTACTTACAGGGGCAGTTCTCAAAAGGCCACTATAAAAAATACATTCTAGGAGACTTGCTATATTACGGGAATGACAGCAGTATAATCCACTAAAACCCAGATTTAAGCCACATACACCCCAAATCTATGCCTTATAGTTTGACTCATTTGACTTCAGTTAGTACCCAGACTGTTCCAATCCTGCTGATTGTTGCTCTTACCATCTAAGTCACTTTCAAAAGTTTCAGCTGACAGCCAGTCAGTAGCTGGGCCTGTACCATTGACTGTTAGAGCAGCCACTCGGAAATTATATTCGGTTCCTCGATCAAGACCTGCAATGCAAACAATTTAAAAAAGGGGATCAAACAAGAGCTTTGGAAAAACAAAAGATTACAATCTCCCATTAAAGTAAGTATCTCACCCACCATCTTAGTACAAAGCTACTACCCTGGCGGCTCAGTCGGTAAAGAATCTGCCAGCTATGCAGGAGACCCAGGGTCGATCCCTGGGTCAGGAAGACCCCCTGGAGAAGGGAACGGCTACCCACTCCAGTATTCTTTCCTGGAAAATCCCAGGGACAGAGGAACGTGTTGGCTACAGTCCATGGGGTCACAAGAGTCAGACATGACTTAGTGACTAAACTACCAACACCACCACCACCCCTATCCTGATAACATTTCAGTTAAAGTTAATACAGAACAAGCAATACATAAATACAGCACAGAGGAGCTCCTATCTCTAGATAGGAAGCCCAACAATCCAAGAGGAAAACAAAATAAATAAAGCTCCCAGGAGACTTTAGATTTTTTAAAAGAGCTTGAAGACACCTTAGAAATGAGGACTTTCCAGGTAGTGCTAGGGTTAAACAACCCGCCAGCCAACGCAGGAGACATAAGAGATGCGAGCTCCATCCCCAGGTTGGGAAGATCTCCTGGAGAAGAGCACGGCAAAACGGGCTTCTTGGTGGATCGGACGGTAAAGAATCTGCCTGCAATCCAGGAGACCTGTGTTTAACCCCTGGGTAGGGAAGATCCCCTTCTTGCCTGGAGAATTCCATGGACAGAGGAGCTTGGCAGGCTACAGTTCCTGGGGTCACAAAGAGTCGCACTGTAAAGAATCTGCCAGCTATGCAGGAGACCCAGGGTCGATCCCTGGGTCAGGAAGACCCCCTGGAGAAGGGAACGGCTACCCACTCCAGTATTCTTTCCTGGAAAATCCCAGGGACAGAGGAACGTGTTGGCTACAGTCCATGGGGTCACAAGAGTCAGACATGACTTAGTGACTAAACTACCAACACCACCACCGCCCCTATCCTGATAACATTTCAGTTAAAGTTAATACAGAACAAGCAATACATAAATACAGCACAGAGGAGCTCCTATCTCTAGATAGGAAGCCCAACAATCCAAGAGGAAAACAAAATAAATAAAGCTCCCAGGAGACTTTAGATTTTTTAAAAGAGCTTGAAGACACCTTAGAAATGAGGACTTTCCAGGTAGTGCTAGGGTTAAACAACCCGCCAGCCAACGCAGGAGACATAAGAGATGCGAGCTCCATCCCCAGGTTGGGAAGATCTCCTGGAGAAGAGCACGGCAAAACGGGCTTCTTGGTGGATCGGACGGTAAAGAATCTGCCTGCAATCCAGGAGACCTGTGTTTAACCCCTGGGTAGGGAAGATCCCCTTCTTGCCTGGAGAATTCCATGGACAGAGGAGCTTGGCAGGCTACAGTTCCTGGGGTCACAAAGAGTCGCACTCAACGGAGCGACTAATACTTTCACTTTGTTACTAAGGAGGCTGAGACCAAACACAGGCCAAAGGAATGAAAGACTTACAACAAGGGAACAAAGTCAGTTGGTCTCAGAAGACACCAAAGACCAGAAAATAATGCAGAGGTGTAACTCCTACCACTTTACCTCTGTTCTCTGGGTCACCCCATAACCACAAAAGAAACATTTTAAGTATCAAATATGGCCTAGAAATCTATTTCTCAACAACCTACTTGCTCATGAGTATATACAATAAATAAAAGAGGAATAAAGCCTTTTTACTATGCAGTCTTTCATATTTTTTACTATTAGCTAATGAAGTACGCGATATAAGAATCTATCAAAGGTAACAAAGATGTACATGTAAAAGTCTACAAAGTGGGGTAATGGTCAATTTTTTTCTTTTTGTGTTAAAATACATATAACATAAAATTTACCATCTAAGCCATTTTTGAGTGTACGGTTCACATTCATACATTTTTTAGAGCACGTTGATACCAGATGCTGTGAAAGGTCTTATAAAGGTTATGAAAAATTATCCTACACCTCCCATTATTCAAATAACAGGATCATTGGCCAGAAACTAGTACAAAAATTCCTAACAGAGAGCTACTGAGAGAGAGGTTGGCCAGGATGCAGGATGAGCCCTGGCTCAGCTAAATCTGTCACATGGTGTAGAGGAGAGGTGGGCCTGCTCTCTGCATGCCCATCCTGATTGGTGTTGGTCCACAAGGAAGCAAACAGCAAGACAGGAAGAGAAACAGAACAGCTAGGCCCCAGTCAGTCTAACCCCCTCCCCTCCCTGCACACACGGAAAGAGCCAGGGTGGGCCACACAGGCATCTGTAACCATTAGCCGACGACAGTCTGGACTACTAGCAAACATGGTTCAGTTGGGGCTTGAGAAGAATGATAACCATCAGGTTATCATTCCCTCTCCTCCGAGGAACTGGAATGTAAGAGTGACGGCAAGTGGGAGCGAGTGCACACGAGTAGGTGAAGCGAGATTAAGTACAGAGGCTGACCTCCTCCCCCTCAAGATGACCTACAGAGCTCGCAGGCTAAAACCAAGGCACTCGATTCACATTATAGAGATACGGCAGAACGCGTCAAGTGCTGTAAGTAGTACAAGAAGAAGAAACAACAATTACTGGCTAAACCTTAAAATCCTGTAATTTGTTGTTCAATACAGGATCTTGGGAACCTATACTATTCCTCTAATGCTTATCAGCTTCAAGTTAACACTCAAGAGAATAACCACCTTCCCTTCTCAGGTTTGATCTCTGGGTTGGGAAGATCCCCTGGGGTAGGAAATGGCAACCTACTCCAGTACTCTTCCCTGGAAAACTCCATGGACAGAGGAGCCTGGCAGGCTACAGTCCATGGGGCTGCCAAGAATCAGACACAACTGACAGACTAAATGCACATACACCTTTTGCTCATCATTATACACCCAGCGCCACTGCATGCCAATAAAAGTTCAATAAAGTCTATTAAATGAATGAATGAATCTAAATATAATTTTAAAATGCAAGAATTTTCTTGATTAACAAAAGGCTATTTTTTATTAAGAAAGTGGTATTTTGCTTATATATCAAATGTTTCACTGAGAAAATGGATAGTCTCTTCAGGGGAAGGACTATATCTATTTTTATTTATTAGAATCAAGAACCATGCCTGGTATATAATAAGTACCTACTATTAAATATTCAAAATACAAGCTTCATCTTTGGGAAATGTTATTCATCTGTGTCTGGAGTATAATCAGATTGACTTTTAAAAACATCCATGACCAATTTTGCAGGAATGCTCCTTTGGTGAGATTTCTCAGCAACACTCCTGCAGTCACATTTATCTGCTGCAGCTTAGAGCTGTGGGGTCCAAGTGAGGAAATGAGAAAACTGAAAGATACCCTTGAAGACAAATATTCAATTTCTCCTATTTTGAAAGAAGTCAATCCCATCTGTGAGGTGAAGAGTATGGAGAAAACCTGCTGGTTTACTGGACTGTTTTTCACTGTCAATGGCTCTCTCAATTTTTTGAAACCCTATACCTATAAAGAAGGGAAGACCCATTATACTTTTTTGCCCCAGATCTTGGTTCTATCAAGAATCTGGCCCCCGGAGACACTAAAAAAAAGTAGCCGATGTCAAGCTTCTCTAATCCTGTCATCTCTAGCCATGAGGGAAGCAATGTAAAGAAAGTTTAGAGTTCCCGAAGGGCGATGAAATTAATTCTCAAGACTTAGATAATAATGCCAAGACTTCTAATTCTCAGGTCTCTTCTACCAGCTCTGCTAGGAAACCCCAAGAGTCTCTGAGGGGCATCTGTCTCTATTCTTTCATCACACAATTGTAACATTTAAAGAACAAAAATTCTCTTCCAACGCTTCTCATGCAAAGCCAACTTGCTTTCACAAAGCCAACTCTACTTCCCCTACTTAAGAAAGGAGGAAGGGGATAACTCTGACTACTATACTAGAGATAGATTAGGGTCCATTTGATTTGTCTCACATAAAGGCAAAACCATACAAAAGAGCTATGCCTGACAGAATTTTCTAAAACTTTATCATATCTGTAGCAGCAGGAATGATTATTGCGTGGCTGTGGCCATTCACAAATGTTTCAGGTCACAGATACCCAGTGTTAGAAGAAATCATTTTGTAGGCCTCTGCTACCACCTAGATTGAGTAGATTCTTTGCTTATGTAGCTTTGTTTACATGGATAGTACATTAAAATAATTTCACCACAGAACAGGCAGAACCTGTAAGAGTGTATTCTACAATTTTTATCAGGTCAGAAGTTGACTGAACAAATTCTTTTAAACCATTTTTGATTTGTGTAAGTCAACAGTCAGGAGCAGTCATTAGACTAGTGTTAATTCAAAGTTTGAGAAAGACACCATCTTCAAGCTTTCGCCTACAAGCAAAGCAGCTTACCTTCAATCAGCTGTGACAGCTGTGTCCCAGACACCAAGGTCTCAGTGACATCACTCTTCCGGGAAGCCTTTCGGTAGCGAACCTTGTAGCCAGTAATCTGTCCATTTTGTGCAGCTGGAGGAGGTGGCTGCCAGTGAATCACAATACTCTAGGAAACACAAGATTATAGGGAAAGACAATATATCAGGTCTTGGTCCTATTTTATGTATTATTACCCTGAATTCACCGTGTAAGAGAAGGAATACAAAAGCAACAGAGTGCTCAGAGTTTTATTACTAAGCCATTTGATAATCATTCAAAGATAGTTTTAAATTTTAAACCCCTCAAAGATGAAATGGGGAGATTGTATTTGTGGGCAGTGTACTCTGGCACCTGATCTATTTTGCTAGAATGAAGATACTGGGCAAAAGTCTCAGGAAAGTTTCTGAAGGAAAACAGGAGGCCAGAGGCATGTGGATGAGGAAGTAAATCGGTATTAGGTTCTCTTCTACATCTACTGTAAGAAGAGTGAAGTTAGATAATTTCTGTCTAAAACTTTTCAAAGAGGGGACTGTTAATTATCAGCTGACTGTTTCTTGAAAGAGGAGTCCCAGATTACTTTTTGAAAGGACTGCCCGTCTCAGTTGTCAGTGCAGCCCAGGAGGAGCTCTGGGCATCTGAGAGGCACACGTGGTCTTCAGGGCACAGTGAACTTGCCCAGGAGAGCTGGCTACAGCAATGCAACCATAGGATAGATGTCTGCCTTTGACTCACTCTGGGCTCACCTCACAGTACAAATGGCTCCGGTATGAAAAACCACATCAGCAGGTTCTGGATGTTTAAGGTCTATAACGCCATGGTTCACATAATAATAGCAGTATACTTGCAGAAAGGCTAAAGTAATTTTGGCATTAGAGAAACACAGTAAAATTAAACAGAATAAACCAAAGTTGGCATCTAAGTCCAGCTTTAAACTGGCAAGTGTAATATTTATGTCACTTTATTTCTCTGCTTGATTATGATTGTTTTGATAGAGAATCTCCCTCTTTATAAGCCCTCCTGAGGCCTAACAGGCTACCAGTAAAAATGAACAAGAGCAATATAAAGTTTTACCTTTGAATTTCTTACTTCTAAAGACAGATTCTGAGGAGCAGCACTGGGAACTGCACAGACCAAAAAAAAAAAAAAAAAAGAACAGAAAGGAAATGAAAAAAAAAGCTTTAATTTCAATTACATCATGTGACTGTTCTTGGCCAGACCTTACACAAATTCACATCTCAAACACTGATACGCAACCTGAAAGTCTAACCCAGGAGCCAGTGTCCTCATGTTGATGGTATTTGGATAAGGTTGACAGTACTTGGTTGGTTGATCAGTATTTGGATCAGGTGTGGCCATATATAAGTCATTTAAAATGAAACACATTCACATATACACATCCATACCCAAGTCAAGATATACCTTTGGGAAGTCAGATATTTATTTCAAGGATATGACGGTGACTAAACTTTTCCAGAGCCCAATTATATTCTGAACTTTTAATGTATCCTTCTGAATATTCTTGGGAATAGCATATCTTTATTTTGGGATACATTTTCTGGAAATGAGCCTAATTAATACAGGAAGTGAATCAGCTGTGTAGTATCATTACAAGTCCAAAGTGTGAAGTACACAGATCAATGACCTTGGCTTTCTTGTGGGATTCCTAAACTGGTTCTGAAGGCAGTTTCAAGGAGAGCAAAGAGTTGTTAGACAATGGAAGTCCAGTTAACTAACCATTTGGCTTCTGAAGGCAACTATATAGCAGGAAATACTCATTCAGATGTGAGAGGTTTGGTACTATTAGTTACAAAACAGCTGTATAACTAGTTTCTCACATATTAGAACATAAGACAGGGTATCTCAAAGTTTATTGTACATATGCCCTCCAGTGTCTTCTTTTGTAGTAACTACACAAAGAAAAAAAAATTTAAGTAAACCTGATTAGTTTCTTCTCCAACCACAAAATGCTGACTTTAGCTTTTCTCTCCTAATCCATACATGGAAATTCCTCCCTTCCATTCTGACATTTGGTGACCAGACACATAACGCAGTGCCCACTGCACTGTAGTCTTCTGGAGGATAGAGAGGATAGAGATTTCTCAACCTAGAGATTCAGAGGGTCTGGAGAAGGACTTCTCCATTTGTGTTCTGAAAAAAGTCCATGGATGGTTTCAGTCATCTCCTTTTTAAGAACCTCTGGCTCAGCTGCAGAGGCACCAACATAATTGTTGTTGCTGTCTTCTTCTCTTTCATCATCACCACCACCATCACAGCTAAGATCTGTTTCATGCTCCTACATGGCAGGTAGTTTAATCCTTACAACAATCCTACAAAGGAGTTTCTATTATTATCTCACTTTATAGGTGACAAAACTATAGCTGCAGCTCTGGGGAGTTAACTTTCTCAGGGTATTTGTTTCAACTGGTATAAGAACCAAGATTTCTCTTCCTCCGAAGTGCTGCCCTTAACCAACCACGCTGAGACACATTCAGTTCCTGCAACAGGCACTGGAGTCAGCATGCCAACCCACTTAATGCAGTTAAAAGTGGCTCATGGGTAGATTTAAAAGCCTATGTTAAACACAGGCTAATCAAAATAGAGTCTGCATTTATTTTCCCCAGCTTTTTATCCTGAAAAATGTCAAGTGCAAAGAGAGGCAAGAATACAATGAACACCATATACTCTTTTCCTGCATTCACCACTTTCTAATATTCTGCCATATCTGCTTTATTTCTCTCATTATATTTATACATATTTATCTATCTACATATTGTTTCTGGAGAGCTGAGAGACAGTTACAGTCATTATGATACTTCACCCCTAAATACTACAGTATGTATCTCCTAAGAAAACATTCTCCAACAAAATTGTAATACAATGATCACATTAAAATCTAATCAGCACAAAACTATTATCTAATATACCTAATAACATATCTAATTTTTAATACTGACTGATACTATACCAATCTAATTATTAAGTAATTGTACCAAGAGTGTCTTTATACTGTTTTTACTCCCAGATTCAGGAATCAAAGATTATACATGTTTTATTTTATTCTACGTGTCTTTACTTTTCTTTAATCCTATAATGACTCCCCTTTTTCGTTTCTTTCATGAGACTAATATTTTCTAAGAATTCAAGCTAGTTTATTTTTTTGCAGAATGTCCACCAATTTGGATGTATGTCTAGTTGTTTCATCACGATCATACTTAAAACATTTTTGGCAGGGATATAGCACAGGTGAAATAGATGAAGTTATGTCTTTCTTGATGCAACATATCACATGATGTCAGTCTGCTCCAATGATGATGTGATGTCTGACCACTTGTTTAAAGGAGTCAAACTATAGCTCTTAAAACTTGTTTATACATTCAATGTAAGGGCTATAGACATATACACACATTTTTAAGAAAAAGACATTTTTGAAACATTTGGATTTAGCTGAGTTTCAGGATACAATATATACATTAAGTGCAATGAACTGTTATTTTCTGTTCTACTCTAAAAATATCTTTTTAAAAAATGTGGGTCTTGACCTACTCAGTTTCATTGGCAAGCTGTACTTTGAAAACGACTGCTTTAGGTCATGGGTCTAAGCAAATAACAGTGAGATGTAAACTGTCACAAAATATTGAGGAGTTAAAAGACCTATTTAGCATGGAAATATAATTGCTATGTAGAGTAAGGCCAAGACTTGAATGATCTATTCTATGAACAAGCAATAATACTCACTTATACAAAAAAAATCTACTAAAAATAAAATACCAAGAAGCTATTCAAGTACCTGGTACTACATGTTCTATGACCTCTCAATGGATTTTTACAGCAACCCAATGAAGCTGGTATTATCTAAATTTCACATGTAAGGAAACATGCTCAGACATGTAAAGTGACTTGACTGAAGTCACACTACCAGAACTGGTATGTGAACCAAACCTCGGTATCAATGCCCATAATCTTGTTACTGTGCTACCAGAGCCCCCAAGCTCGGTATTCTGTTCCAGGGAAGAGAACTCACCATCTGAAAAAGTTCGAACAGCAACATCTTGTGTGGAGACTCCAGGGCCATGTTTATTGTAGGCCACCACTCGGAAACTATACTCTGTGTATTTTTTCAATCCGTTAATGGTGTGGGAGTGACTCGAAACATCAACATCCTTGAGTAAAATAAAACATATATGTGTGTGTGTGTATATATATATATATTATATATATATACACACACACACACACACACACACACACACAACTCAAGCCAAAAGAAATGAAGCAAATAATTACACAAATTCTATATTTGACATAATGCAGATTTTTATTCCTCTTACAGAACGTTATTTTAATAGTCAAAGCAAATTTATCATAAACACTGGCAATTTGCTGAGAAATACTTCTTAATAATGTTTAGTGACCTTTGATGGCAAAAACTACAGAATGAACCTTGCTACTAAGAAACAGAATTTATCATCTCATCATTTCTTATACATATTTTTTCCTCAGATTTCTAGACAAGCAGGTATTGATATATTTCAACTCTACTACTCCAATCAATGCATTAAAAAAAAGGCTTCATATTATACCTGTTCTTTATCAGTCCCTTTTTCCATGTAGTACAGTTTGTAATTCTGAATTTCCCCATTTCCAGACAACGGTGTTTCCCAGGTGACAGTGATGGAAGTAGGTGAAGTTGCATACGCTCGGATGTTAGGTGCTGGGCCAGGGAGCTGAACTAGAAAGATTTCAAGATGGCAAGATATAAATAAAATTTATTGTACCCCTCAAGACCACTCTCAGCAATAATGGCACCCTGGCTATGTTTTCAAAACAATAAAACAATGAAACTAAGAAAACAAGTGATCTGACTCAAGAGGTTTCAGGATAACATATAATTAAATGATTTCCCTCTTTATGACTCAAAAACCAAAAATTATCTGTGAAATATCTCAAATTTATTCAAAGAAAAAGGTGAACACTGAAGAATTCTTATGGTTTATAAAACCCTATTTTGTAGCAGGACTGCAGCACATAAAGGCAGACATCACAGAAAGCAGCCTTCTCTTGACAGGCTATGGGGATACAATGAATGATGGACAGAGGCCCTGCCCACAGAGAACTCCAGTCTAGAGGGAAGTAAGACATATAGTTACAAAGAAGATCATAAGTGCTGGCAGATTAGGCAACAACTGTAATGAAAATGGAAAGAAGAGAGTACATAATCCTGCTCTGGGTAGGGTGGTTAGGAAAGGGAAGGACTGAAGTAGACTTTTAGGGAGCAGAAAGAATGAGCAGTTTTCTCAGACCATCAAGGGAGACACTGTTCTAGTCAATGGGGGTGACAGGTGAGAAGACAGTGTTATATGTTTCAGGCCGAAACAGAACACAAGATACAGAATGCTACAAAGGATAACAAGAGCCAGAGAAGGCCCTGCTGTTGAGTTTGGATTATTTCTTATAGGTGTTAGATAATTACTGAAAAATTATGAGCAGGAATATGACAAGACATGACCAGATTTGCCTTTTAGAATGAACATATGAACACATGGACAGAAGAAAAACAGCAAGGGACAAGACTAGATAAACACTCATTTTAAAAAGAGCTACCATTTATTGAATGTTTGCTATCAGTCCAGCATTAAGTGCTTTACATGTATTTAAATTATATTTTACTTAATCTTCATACAAACCCAAATGAGACAGATACTGTTATCACCCCTACTTATGGATGAGCCTGAGAAGTTAAGAACCATTCCCAAATGAAGGAAAAGTTGGTGAGTGGTGGAGCCAGGAACCAAGCCCTTCCTGGTTCTAAAATGTGGACTCAGGAGGATCAGGTAGGGAATTATGCAAGACCCTCTGAAGGATGATGTGACTGGAAGACCCCATGAGTGACTGACTGACCGTCTGCCCAGTTCACATCCTTTTTTACTATATTCTTTTTGTCTGACTGTCAGGTTCCAGTCCCAATTTATAAACAAATCCTGGGCAGCTGCCTGTGTCTACACTTTGGTGGACACTCTGCATCTGAAAATTATTTCTCTGGTGCCAGTGCTTTTGTAACAGACATCCATTAGACTTAAGGAAAGGGGAAAAAAAACTAACAAAATGTAAAACAAACTGGCTTTCTTAAATAACAGCATGACAGCTTAAGATTAGTTTAGCTACCAAAGTAGAGAAACCTGAATATGGTTATTCTGACAGTTGTTTGCTTTATTTAGTCATGAATCATGTTATTCACTTAATGTTAAGAGCATATTTTGCACAGCCTGACAGGTGGGATTTGTCACACTTCTGCTGCTATGGAAAACTTTCCTCTAACTTTTTATATGGGAAGGAAAACAGAACAAATTCCCTTGAAATCACTTTCAGTATATTTGCTGGTTAAATGTAGGCAAATTTGATCCTAAAAAAGGCGCTAATAAATTCTTTCGTCTGTACAGTGGCATTAAAACATGTGAAAATTTAAGTTGGTTTGAAAAGCTAAAAATGTAAAATATTTTCCAAGGGCTGACTCTAATACTTTGGCTTCCCCCACCCCAGGCTGAACACATCCAGATGAAATCTCTTTCCACTGACTCCTCTTTTGCCAAAACATGTTAATAGTCACTCTGCATCCCTAAAACAGTCTCCCTAGAAGCTGTTGCTCCTTCCATCTATATTCTTCAGTTCAGTCGCTCAGTCATGTAAAACTCTTTGTGATGCCACGGACTGCAGCATGCTAGGCTTCCCTGTCCATCACCAACTCCTGGAGCTTACTCAAACTCATGTCCATTGGTGCTGCCAATCCAACCATCTCATCCTCTGTTGTCCCCTTCTCCTCTTGCCCTCAATCTTTCTCAGCATTAGAGTCTTTTCTAATAGGTTAGTTCTTTGCATCAGGTGGCCAAAGTATTGGAGTTTCAGCTTCAGCATCAGTTCTTCCAATGAATATTCAGGATTGATTTCCTGTACTTCTGACTGGTTTGATCTCCTTGCAGTTCAAGGGACTCTCAAGAGTCTTCTCCAACACCATAGTTCAAAAGCATCAATTCTTCTGCTCTCAGCTTTCTTCATGGTCCAACTCTCATATCTGTATACTTAGCTACTTTCTTTTAATCAAACTCCCTTGAATAAATGATCACAATACTGCCCATTTACCAGTCCTTGTCAGTCCTTGTCTGGTACCACACTATTTTGTGAACAGAGGTCTTACTCATCTTTACTTCTTGCTGCCTAGTACAGTGCCTGGCACATGACAGGCACTCTGTAAATCTCTTCTTTCATCTCTAACTTGACAATGCCCCCTTTAATTCTGTAGTTCTCAGTAGTCTGACTTTAGGTTCTGAAGTGACCAAGAAAACCACAGGTTCTTTCCAAAGGCAAATGTGAATATGTACAGACACACAAATATTTTCATGCACCTTCAGAAGTTTCACAGCCCCAGGATGGAACCCTTGCACTGAATCAAATTCAGTGGTCTCTTTCATTTTCATGACTCACCCTGCATGTACACTGTTAATCCTAGTTTTGGGATTGGGTCAAGCAGTTTCCTTCCCCAAGAATGTTTGCTCTAAGCCAAAGGCTTTAAGACCAGCCTCAGCTTTCATGTTTTCCTAGGAACCTGACTTGATTTACCTAACTTTACAGTAACTGCTGCTTGTTCTGTATTTCATTATCTCTCATGAATGACACCTGTACGTGGGAATTAATGAAGGAAAATTGAGTCCGAAATCTAATAAATTGTTCCTGCTCTTATCTGAATACAGTAATTGTGAAACTCAACATCCTTTCCCTGTAGTGAGAACACATTCTTTCCTTAAGTCAACACCACCACCCCCGACCCAGCTCTCTCTTGTTGTTGCCTGGGTCTGATTCTTGACCTTCAATGCTCTATTACAGAGATGATGAATGGCCTCCTATCTTGACTGCTCGTTTTTGAAGGGGAGGATTCCTGTCCTGTCCCTGCATCTCTGATAGCTTGTGCAGGGCCTGGTAGAGGAAGTCCTCAGTAGCTGTTTGATGGGTGAACAATTTGCTGCAGCATTAGAAAGTGAAATTTCACAGCTTCTTGACTTTACTTATTTCACCCATCAGGCAGAGTCCTTGAATTATTTCCATAGTTTCAGTGGTAAATACATTTAATCTGTTTAGTATCCTAGTTAGCAGCTTCCTTAAATTTATCGCCCATGCCCCCCTCAGCTACAGTAAAATTTTTGTTACTGCAAATTTGTTAACACAGAAACACTAGTGTAGTTAATAGGAAAAGAAAACTGGAGAAGGCTCCCAAGAAAAACAATGGCTTGTGTTAAAAGAAAGTACAGTGTAGAAGAAAGCTTCATGAGAAAAGCATTAATTCTAAATTTGACTGCTTCTTATAACTTCTGACCTATAGTTTAAAAAACAAAATTCAAGACATAGAAGACATTTATGAGGTAAATCACCTTGACACTAATTTCAGCTGGGAAAATCTTAAGAAATGTAACTGGAAGTATCATTATTTAGCACAAAAGACAACAGGTCCAAGGTAAAGCCTTGAAGAGATTTTGAAGAGTATGGTATGTATAAAGACCATGGCAATTCCACTGATAATAACTATTAAATACCTACTTCCTGTGTGAGGTACTGCATTAGACATGGTGGGAAATAAAAGGACAACAAATACTCTGTCTTTGCCATAAAATTAATGAGATATATTCATAACCATAATTCAAGGAAGATGTACAATAATACATCTTGCAACTTAAATAACACATAATGTAACTTAGGACTGCAGAAAACAATATTAGATAAGATCAGAGGAAGATTTTAGAATGGCATCTGAACTGGGTCCAAAGAATCAGTAAAATCTGGGTGTCTTCCCGCAGAATTATATTGTCATACACTATTTGCTGCTGTTTGATGCAATTAACTTGATCTCCTGTAACTAATTCACTAAGATCCCTAAAAGTGAGGCACTGTTATCTCCTGCACAACTATGGTATGCCAAGCTATACATAAGATAGCCCTTCATACAGGTCTTGCTACAGGTGGGGCTGACAGACAGGTGGGAGACTTACCCTCAGGTTGTGTTTCTACCCGTAGTGGAGCTGAACTCTCTCCAGAGCCATGCTTATTTTGAGCCATAACTCTAAAGATGTACACTGTGGCTGGCATTAGGTTTTGAATGGTCACCTGCATTTCTCCTGGGCGACTGGTATTCTCAACACGTTCCCTTTGGATAAACAGGGATTTGGAAAGAAATAACATTGATTATGGAAATTTCTAGAATGTGCAGTTTCATTTTCATTGCAGTATCTATAGACACCACACTACATCAAAATCTTAATAAATTTAAGTCAAATTAACTCTCAAAAAAGGAAGGTTTTGGGGGTGGAACGGTGCATGAATATGGACACTGGTTAAGAGCAATGTCACACATGTCTGAGAAGTCGCTGATGTTCTTGCTTAAACATCACTGATATCGTTGGTCATAAACATCACTGATATCGTTGGTCATAATCACAACTTCCTTTCAAGAGTCTTCTCAGTACCATCTCAAATGGGGTAGCTAGTCACCAATTTTGTACACTTTAAGAATCATTGATTTTTTTTTTTAAAGGGGTTATGTTTAGGGAAATAAACAGAAGGTGATTATAGGTATGATCCAATTTTCACAGAAAATATCAAAGAATGTTGTGTATCTTTTGGATAATAATAAAAGGGAAATTAGAGATTATCACTTAAAACTGGGAACAAAACATTAAAAATTTAAATGACTCTAATCTATAAAATACAGAGAAGGCAATGGCACCCCACTCCAGTACTCTACCAGGCTCCTCTGTCCATGGGATTTTCCACGCAAGAGTACTGGAGTGGGATGCCATTGCCTTCTCTGGTGTCTATCTTAAGAGAGTAATAAAAGGGCCCAAAACTACTTTGTGGGAGAAATTATTTGAAATTACCTAAAAGTCTATTGAATTAAATTCTTACTTTAAAATATTGATAATTTTCCCTGAAATTTGTTTAAACAAATGGTTAAACAAACTGATTAAAATTTGTTAAGTTCTACATAACCATATGCCAATTTGTCTGATTGTAAGTGAATATCTGCATTTCAGAGATTCAAGTGTTTTTCAATAATTTTCTATGGTTCTTTAAACTACCTTATTTTAATTAAAACAAACAAATAGTACCCACCCACATCATATTTATAGAGGCTGCTTGTCTACTACAGTCAGGTCCATTGCAAAATATCATGGTAACAAAAGTTACTGCTCAGAGACTCTTCACATATCTATAGATATTTTCTCTTCAGCTAAACCTCTAAATCACAAGATTTAGGAGAGTATCAACTGATTTCCTGTGGTGTGAGGTTTTTGACATTTAATCCAATCACAAATGACTGCTGTCTAAAATGAAGCATGGTATGTGACACTTCACTAAACTAAAAGCTCAATGCCAGAGCACAGATTACTTTGTTCTGCTAACTGTGCATCAAAGTTTAAACAAGACCTTTCCGAGAAAGACAGTGAAAGGGGCACTGTCTTACTTTAAACTGAAGTGAGAGAGTGTTTCATTCACGTTCACAGACTACAGAAGCATTAGCAGAAGGCTCATACCCTGAGCAGCATCACAAGTGTATGCAGAATGAATGAATGGAAATTTGCCTTATGATGTGTCAATTGTCTCCAGTAATGATATCATCTTTATCTTTTTGTTTGTGCCTATGTAAACGGGGGGCTTCCCTGGTGGCTCAGTGGTAAAGAATTCACCTATCAATGCAGGAAATGAGGGTTTGATCCCTGGGTTGGGAAGATCTTCTGGAGAAGGAAATGGCAACCCACTCCAGTATTCTCGTCTGGGAAATTCCATGGACAGGGGAGCCTGACAGACTGCAGTCCATTGGATCACAGAAGAGTTGAATACAAACAACTTAGCAGCTAAACAACAATAATGTAAAAGGGGGAAAAAACCTAGGACAAATTTCTACAGAAGCATTATGATAAGAAAAAAATCAACAGTAGGTATGATTCCCTAAGATGAAACATCTAACACTTGAAAAAACTTCTAACAGTAGACTGATCTGAGGTCACAGAACCAAGTCTCTCTGGAAATAAAACTCTGACTTCAGGGAAGATTTGGGGTGAGTTGTGAAGGACAATTTTCATAAATGTGTGAGGTTACAATGGGAGTTAAGTTAGAATGTCTTAGCTAAGAGTCAAAAGAGAAAGAAAAAGGTCCACTTTGTACCAAGACAGTGCTGGGTCAGAACTTGGTAGCTCCAATTCTAGTTCTGGCAACACTGCTGGCTTGCAAAGTCACTAATTCTTTCTGGGCTTCAGTTTCTTCATGTATTAAATGAAAGAATGAGCCCAGGGTGATGAACTTATTCTTAAAAGGCTTGACAGTAAGTATTTATAGGCCAAGACACAAAATGAAAAATATTACCGACCATCTCCAGAGTTAAGCTGGCCCTCCTATCCACAGTTCTGTATCTGGAGATTCAACAACTGTGGATCCTGAAGTAGTGTACTACAAATTTACTGAGAAAAATCCACATGTAAGTGGAAAAGTGCAGTTCAAACCCATGTTGTTCAAGGGTCAACTGTAGTTATTTATATAACCTATTAAAGTGTAACCACTTGAAAAATGTAAAATTTATCCTTAGGTCTTGGGCCATAAAAACAAGTTTGATTTGGCCCAGGGTATATAGTTTGATTGATCCTGGAGCAGACTAACAGATACGTAAGGCTGCATGCNCCACCTAACTACTGCTGATCTGTCTCCCTGACTTCACCACTCTTCCTCTCTAATCTTGTGTAGAACCTGTCAAGAGCTGCTAATAAAAGCTCTTTAATAAAACCATGTACATGCTTGCTCAAGAGTCTGAAATGGTCCCTTCTTAATTGATCATGTCCAGATTCTTACTTGTATTTTAACACTTGGCTCCAAACTTCCTTCCACTTTATTATAATCTCTTACTAATTCTGATCAAAAACTCCAGGCCAGAGGTTTCTTACTTCTCCATCTTTTCAACAGCAGACACACAAATTAGATCCTCTTTCTTTATGTATATTGATACTTGCCTTGTCCTCCTCCTCCTGCCAATTGATAAAAATGGTTTCTATACTTTTTTCTAATATACTTAAGTTTTAAAAAATATGTTTTGATACATTTATAACATTGTCATACATAAGACAGAGATATAACTTTTATTCCTTCTACTAAATGGGGGTTAATTATCAACATTATTTCTTGAATAATTATTATTTCTCCACTGTATAAAATTACTCACTTAACAAATATTTATTTAGTGCTACTGATAAGCCAGGCTCTGTTCTAGGTGATGGTGACCCTCTACTGAACAAGACAAATGCAATGAATGCGTTAATAAAAAGAGAACATTTCTGAGTGTTAAGTGGTCTGGAAAAAAAAAAAAAGCTAAAAAACAAAACATGGTGGTATGTTACAGTGATGTTCCGGTAAATGTTTAACAACTGGCTCTGGTTTGTAGCCCGTGTCACTGTAAATACTCCCCCATGCCCAACTTCAAGCTACCGGGTCATGTCCTTGGATTTGCAAAATTTCCTGAAAATTTAACAACTGGCTTGGGAACAAGCCAGCAAGTGCCCCAGAGTGTGACAGTAACCAAGAGGCTATGTTGGGCAGGTAGTCATGGAAGACCCGAGAAGAGACCTTCTGAGGATGATGGACAAGAAGCCAGACAGTTGTTTGCAAAGGAAACGCAGTCCTGCTAGAAGGAACAACAAGACCTTCTACTAGAAGCAAAGACCCTGTGATGCATGTAAGATTGCTTCTGAGGAATTACTAAAAGCTTCTGTCCTTCTGTGGAACCCCATGGACTTTGCAATGGGATTTGAAAGTCTACTGGAAACATTTCAAGACGGGTAGTAACATCTTGACTTTCTGTGACTAGTAGTATGTTTCCTTATCTTTTAACTGCAAAACATCCACTGCAGTGTTCAGATGAACCTTCCATTACCCTGTGAGCAGTGCAATCCATCTGACTCAAATTATGTCACTCACTCAGATGTCTCAAGAATCTTAAACCAAGGGGCACTGACTTGACTTGACTTAAAGTACCTATACCTTCTGAACTTGCCAGTTTGGTATTAAATACAATATATATCAAATGTAAGCACCCTAGTAGAAATACAAGCTTAACTGCCTTAACCCAAACAGGTATTTTAGCCTTCTTATTTTGGTGTGAAGTAACAGCACAACGAAGGGATCTACTTAGCAATGTTAAGAATACAGAGTCAGCACATGGCATGGGACCTCCCAAAGAGTGTGTAACTGATTGGGAAAAAACATAAACACACATAAAATAACAGAAGAGTAACAACTATGGCAGTATCAGATCATGTGTTATCATAACCAAGTGCCAGTATCAGTGGCACAAATATATACATACATATATATATGTATATATATATATATATATACATATATATAAGAGAAAAGCTACATGTGCTGAAAAAGTAGAGGAAGATTTATGAGGGCTCCATTGGGCTTAATCTGAGCCAAGAAAGATTAACTGAATTTTACAGTGGTAGTTGAGAAACGGGAAAGAGGGAAGTGACCAAAGAGAAAATGGGGGAAAAAAGGCTGCAGGGTGACAGGAATGAGATTGGTTTCATTAGAAAGTAAGTTAACTAGGGTTAAAGGAAAATAAGGTTGCATAGATAAAATAAAGGTAGACTGTGTAGTGAAGTAGCCTGGTGATTCTGGAAAATTTCCAAAAGCAATGGAGAGGCAATGTGAGTTCCTGAAAGAAGTGGGGATGGAGAGGAATGTAATGAAAATATTGTTTTAGGAAAACGGGTAACTCAGTAATCTTGTGTCATTAAGCAGACCCCGTGAGCTCAGCAGCCCACACCTGCTTAAGGGTGCAGGCAGATATAACTCCCTTAATTTCTAGAATCTGAAAGCTCTAAGTAAGACATAGCCTATAGGTTGTACTTGACTGAATCATATTAAAAAGGGTATTCTTGGTTACATTTTAATATTTCTACTTAAATACCTTTATTTACCCTCTCCCCAAGTCATCCGAGAAAGACAGGAAAGAATACCAGGACCTTCGTCTGTTTAGGGATTTACTTTTCGTGACCTACAACTAGAGATGACGTATCTCCGTGATCACATTTTTTGGACTGAAAGCTGGTACAGATTCTGCACAGCAGAGAGTCAGGGCAGGCACAACTGGTCTTGGGAGGACAAGATGCACCCACCCGGCTCTGGACACACAGGCACTTACCTCGCAATCCCCTCCTTGGTGTAGAAGACAGAGTAGGTAAGGTTGTCCCCATGAGGGTCTGACGCAGGTGTCCGCCATGTCAGTTTGATGAAGCGGGTGGAGACCAGGGAGGCCACGACATCCCGTGGAGCTGAAGGCAGTGGTCCAGTTGTGGCTGGTGCTAGATGGTCAGTAGTGGCACTGGTCAGTGAAGTGGGAGGTAATGTTGGGATGGCAACATCTTGTCATGTGCAAATATTGGGGAATATGAAGGGCAAACCACGACGGTTTTAAAAAAGAGAACAGAAAAAAAAACAAAAAAGAAATAAACAAAACCACGATGGGAAATAAAATAAAATGAATGAACATAAAAAAGGCCATTAAACTGAAGGCTGACATGCAGGCCAGGGGTAACTACTGAAAACTAATGGGCACTAGTCAAGACACAGCACTGCAGAGCAAGCAGACTTTCTGGTCACTATGATGGCTGTGGGTGAGGGACAGAGGGTGACAGCTGAGAACAGAACATCTCACAGAAGCACACGTCAGTGCCCAAGTCATTTTCTTTAGTTCTAAAAGCCGCATGCAACATCTGTCAAATTTTGCATGTTTAAGTCTTATATGTGATAAAAAAAAAACCTCAGTATTTTTTCCCACTGTATCAAATATTGAATAATGTGTGTAGTATGGCTGAGCCTAGTTACCTTACCTTGGGCCCCAGACTATCGTGACCTCACTGCAGAGCTGTACGTGCCTCTAGCTCTGCAGGAGTTCAAAAGTCACATCTTCAAGTGAAATCTAACATCAAAGTCTGCTCTCTGTGGTTGGCAATACCCAGGGAAGTTTGATAACCTTCCTCAATTCACTAAATTACAGTTCATTTGCCATCTTATCAATTCATTTAATTACAACAGTATAATATCATGAATCACAAGTCTCAAAGCCACACAAATACAATACATATTGATTTGTGTTTATACAAAATACAAATTGTTGCATCTGTTTGGTACAGTCCTCACTACCAAGTAACAGATTATAACTGCTAGCAGACTTCAGGGACTCAATGGGACAGATGAAACAGTGGCAAATCAGAACTCTGCTGTTCAAATGCTTGTCTGTATGTCCCTTCTGTTACAGGACACTTCTGATTTTAGAAGTCCATTCCTAATATACATCTAAAATATCCTTCACCTTGGAGTACACATTTAATCTCATAATTTTAATTTTAATCTCACAATTTTCAAATGAAGGAATTAATTAGAAATGTGTCATAACTTTAACAGGGAAGTTAGAAGAAGGCGGCAGACAGGAAAATACGAAAATTCTGGACCTCATTTCAATGAGATAGTAGGAAAACAACCTCCTGAAAATGTCTGTGAACTATGAAAGAATCTTTTAAACTGAGGCAGTCTAAATGAATATGCCAGTGGGAATAAATACTCCAAGGAAAAGGACAGAGGAAGACCAATGTAAAATCTCCCTACAGCTACCATTTATTGAGCACTTTCTATATGGCACTCTGGCTCTTTGTATGAAAGTTAGTCACTCAGTCATGTCTGACTCTTTGCCACCCCACGGACTGTATCCCTTCAAGCTCCTCTGTCCATGGAATTCTCCAGGTAAGAATACTGGAGTGGGTTGCCATTCCCTTCTCCAGAGGATCTTCCCCACCCAGAGATCGAACCCAGGTCTCCTACACTGCAGGTGGATTCTTTACTGTCTGAGCTATCAGGATTCTTTATGTGGACTCATTTAGTCTTTACAACTTTATGAAATTGGTACTATCATATCTCTGTATTATATATGGAGACTACATTTAAAAGGGCTAAATCACCCTTCCTAGGAATAGGAAGTGGTGGAGTGTTAAAATTAAAACCAACCATAGTTTTTAGCTTAAGAGACCTCCGGATTTAGTCAATAGGAGTTTTTAGCCCTGGTCATGCCATTCAGGGTAATGGTGGTGATCACAGGCTCCTGCTTCTTTTCGTCAGTTCCCCCCTGCCCCCAAATCCCATGGAGGCAATGCAAAGGCCCAGGACGAATGCCTGCATATGCACTAGGTATTACAAGAGAAAATCACTGCGCTTGTGAGATTTACCACTTTTATAGCAAGGGAAAGCAAACTTTAGACAAAGAATAGACCTGCTGTGGTATCTAACACCTGCTGTGCTTTTTATGGTTGCGGTCTTTAAAAAGATACTGAAACTTGTTGTGTGTCCCAACATATGGATTATCCTGAAAACTGTCCCATATGTGCTCAAAAAGAATCTGTATCTGTAGTCATTGGGTGGAGAGTCTATAATGTTAGCTAGGCCAAGTTGACTGAGAGGATTGTTTAAGTCCTCTATATTCTTTTTAACTTTTTCTAATTGTTATCAGTTTTTGAGAGCAGTGTTATCACTGACTTACATATTTCGTTTTTGAAAATAACAACTACAAATGCATGTACATACAACAACAAAGCCCCCAAATATATGAATCCAAAGAAATCGGGGAAAATCTCAAATATTTGGAAATCAAGCAATCCATGAGTCAAAGAAGAAACCAAAAGAAATAAAAATTTTAACCCTTTTTAACTGAATGAAATGAAAATACAACATATTAAAAATGAAGACATGCAGTTGAAGCAGTGCTTAGAGGAAATTAAGATGTCTTTATCAGAAGAAAAGTCTCATGTGAATTATCTAAGTTTTCACCTTACTGAAGAGTGCAGATCTTAAGCATTTTTACACCCAAAAACGTAACCATATGAGGTAAAGGATGTGTTAACTAACTTAACTGTTGGAATGTTTTCACAGTGTATGTGTATCAGACGATTATATTGCACACTTCAAATATATTACATTTGTTAACTGAAGTGAAGTGAAAATCACTCAGTCGTGTCCGACTCTTTGTGACCCCATGGACTGTTCATGGAATTCTCCAGGCCAGAATACTGGAGTGGGTAGCCTTTCTCTTCTCCAGGGGGTCTTTCCAACCTAGGGATCGAACCTGGGTTTCCCACATTGCAGGTGGACTCTTTACCAGCTGAGCCACAAGGGAAGCCCAAGAATAATGGAGTGGGCAGCCTATTCCTTCTCCAGCGGATCTTCCCGACTTAGGAATCAAACTGGGTTCTCCTTCACTGCAGGTGGATTCTTTACCAACTGAGCTCTCAGGGAAGCCAATTTGTCAATTATACCTCGGTACAAATGGAAAATTTTAATTTTATTCACATTCTTTAAAAATACGAGGCTAATAAATTAAGGGAAGATGTTGTTGTTGTTCAGTTGTTTAGTGGTATCTGACTCTTTGCACCCATAGACTGCAGCATGCCAGGCTTCCCTGTCCATCACCAGCTCCCGGAGCTTGCTCAAACTCACGTCCATTGAGTCAGTGATGCCATTCAACCATCTCATCCTCTGTCGCTTCCTTCTCCTCCTGCCCTCGATCTTTCCCAGCACCAAGGTCTTTTCCAGTGAGTTGGCTCTTCCCATCAGGTGGCCAAAGTATTGGAGCTTCAGCTTCAGCATCAGTCCTTCCAATGAATATTCAGGACTGATTTCCTTTGGGATGGACTGGTCTGTTCTCCCTGCTGTCCAAAGGATAAGAGTCTTCTCCAACACTACAGCTCAAAAGCATCAATTCTTCAGTGCTCAGCTTTCTTTATGGTCCACCTCTCAAATCTGTACATGACTACCGGGAAAACCATAGTTTGACTTGACTCTATAGACCTTTTGTCGGCAAAGTGATGCCTCTGCTTTTTAATGCACTGTTTAGGTTTGTCACAGCTTTTCTTCCAAGAGCAAGCATCTTTTAATTTTATGGCTGNACCGGACACCTACCAACCTGGGGGTGGAGGGGGGGTTCATCTTTCAGTGTCGTATCTTTCTGCCCCTTTGCACTGTTGATGAGGTTCTCAAGGCAAGAATGCTGAAGCAGTTTGCCATTCTCTTCTCCAGCAGACCATGTTTTGTCAGAACTCTTCACCATGACCCATCTGTCTTGTGTGATGTAAGTTACCAAAATAAAAAAATCAAAGATGGAATAATGCTACCAACCATACAGGTAATAAAAATCACAAGGGAATATGTGGCTTCCCTGGTGGCTCAGATAGTAAAGAATCTGCCTGCAATGCAGGAGACCCAGGTTCAATTCCTGGGTCGGGAAGACCCCCTGGAGAAGGGAACGGCTCCCAACTCCTGTATTCTTGCCTGGAGAATTCTATAGGGAGAGGTGCCTGGTTGGCTACATATTGCCCATGGGGTCACAGAGTCGGACACGACTGAGGGACTAAAGAGAGAGATTATGAACAAATTTATGTCAATAGATTAGACAACTTAAAGGAAGTAAAAAAGTTCCCAGGAAGACAGTAATTACCAAAGCTACTCAAGAGGAAACACAAAATCTGGATAGAATTATGTAACAAATAGAGAAATTTAATTAGTAAATAATAATCTTCCCACAGAGAAAAGCCCAAGTCCAGATGATTTTGCTGGTGAATGCTATCAAATATTTAAAAGAAGATTTGGTACTAATCCTTCACCACTCTTTCAGAAATAGAAGCACTTTCAACTCATTCTGTGAAGCTAGTATTACTCTGATATAAAAGCCAGACAAGATACCACATGAAAAGAAAACTACAAAGTAACATCCCTCATCATCATAGACACAAAATATTAGCAATCCATTTTTGGGAACATAGTAAGAGGATTATAAATCATGATCAAGTAGAATTTATCACAGGAATTGCAGACTAGTTTAATATCCAGAAATCAGTGTAATACACCATATTAAGAGGAAGAAAACCCAAGTTCCACTATGGTTGTTGGCTCCAGTTTAATGATACACTAGACCTTGACAAAGCATCACTTTTAGTAGATTGTAATTATGAGCTTTACTTATAGATTTATGCACTTAAAACTGTTTCCAGGTAGAGATCATTAAATTCAGTGCTGGGCATGTTGCTCTCAGTTAAGTGGATGCAGTTATTTTAATCTGACACCAACTTATACCAGTCAAGCAAACTATCAGCAGCAGGCACGTTTAAGTTTTCTTTGGAAATTTCATTTGTAATTTTCAAAATGTTTTAAAAACTTGTTCGTTTTTCATAATCTTTCT